TAGTAAAACGACGACTATCAGATATTCATAGTCCTCGAGCAATAGGATGGTTAGGGACTGACTGAAATATTAAGATTATCTTGTGTTGATAGTTTCGTGTTTGGTTAATTTCAAAGATCGTAGTGTTATTGCTAGGTGTTTAGTCTAAGTGTTGAACGTTTTGATCAAAGGTGAATTTTATCTGAATTGTTTACCAGCCTTTGGGTGATCGCTTATTGTATCTTTGGGAAATTTTGCTGGATTTATCCATGTGCGTGAGAATATGGCAACTAGGGGTTTCTGTCTGACTATGCTTTGTTAGTTGAAATTCATGTTTTGATGCTTTTGTATGTTGAGGATTTCGGTTCGGCAGCCTCTATATCTTCAGGAGTATCAGGGATCATAGGGTTTGAAGGAATCGTAGATGCTGCGATGCAAGGTATATGGTTATCGTAGTTGCAAAAATCAGGAACTCTGTAACTGTAATCATCTTATGCGGGGGTCTTAACTTCGTTTGGGAGTCTTTATAACTAAGTTGGAAAGCTTACGGGTGTTGATTGAAAGCTTTGCATTCTCAGAAATCAATGGGAGTCGACGATAGTGAGATTTTGAAGTATTTTCATTGACTACGGATCCGAATTCATCCAAGCTACAGTTGAGAATCTTGAATTCTGGGTTGTTATTGGAATCTTTAAGGCCTTTTTTATTCTGATTTTCACGTTGTTTGATCTGGCCTTTCGTCAAGCAATCTTTGTCCTCGGAGGTTTTTGAATTTTTTGTGTTTTGCTAGCTCGGGTTTCAAGGTTGTTTGAGTTCATTTCATCTATGTTCCAAGAGAAACTACTCAAAGGGGTAGGATCTAAGTAGCAGCTTCAAGTGTGATGGTTCTTCAAAGAAGATATATTTGAATAGTTTGTTTAGTAGGAAAGGTGAACTGCCGAAGAGCGTCTCGCAAATACATGTTTTTAAAAGTTATGATATTTTCGAAGTTTGGTGGTTATGGTAAGGACATTGGATGTTTGGAAGCTTTGATGGATTATGCTTTTGTTTGATTTAGTTTAAGGTTATATTCTGTCAAGTATGTGGTTTCTATGTTTTTTTTTTTGTTGAAGTTGTATTGTTTTTTGTCCGATTGTGTTGTACTCTTTTCCTCCAAATAGGATTAAAGAGATTTTTTAACGAGGCACACAATTTGGCTTATGAATAACATTAATTTTGTTGAACAAAAAAAAAGTACCTGGCGATAATCGAAATTCATATAGGTATTTTTACATGATTTTAGTCATCACATATGTTTGAAAACAACTCTACAACATCTGCTACATCAGTTTCCATCTTTAAATCATCAAAATTGAACTTATTGTTCATCCATCCTAATCATAAATTCAACACTTTAAGCATGAAAACAATGAAATACTTGTACCAAATGAAAGAGAATTTTGTGTAGGTTATTTTCCTATTTCATAACTTAGTCCAAAATCCTAATAAAATTGCTAAAAAAATGAAAAAGAACACCTTGGCTGTGGGTACTCGACTATGGGGAAGAAGAGAATTTCATGAAAATTCCCCAAAAATATCTATAGACACTTTGTATTTAATTTAATTTAATTTAATTAAAATAAATTTAAAATTCATTTTATTCCCAAAAGCCAAATCTACTATTAACGAATCTTGATATTTACCTACATGTCATCCCTTCATCACCATTTTAATGACATTAAATAAATATAAAAATTTTATTTACTAATATCCATATTTGTCTTTCTAATTTTCTAAAATTTCAATTTAGTCACAAAATTTCCACTATTCCATTTTAACATGGAAATTCTACTTAATTTATCCATGTTAAATTTCACTATCTAAAAATATTAGAATAATATTTCCAACCTCAAATTACCTTTCTTTAAATTTTTATAAACTTTTGATTCAATCTGGTTATTCGAATATTTTACCGAACTTTATCGCATAATATACTTTTATACATGTCTCGAATCAAAATTCTGGTACCCATAAAAAGGTCAATCTTGGGGTTTAACTATTCACTTATAGGCCCGGCCCAAATATATAACCTTAAAAATTACATTTTGGTCCCTAAACTTTTACAACTTTATACTTTGACCACCAAAATTTTAGGTATTACATTGGTGCCCTATATAAGGAAGAGAAGAATACCTAGAGTGCAGCTTTTCATCCGCCTCCTTCCTTACCTTAGTCTCGATAATCCCCTCCAGTCAGAACCTAAACCATGGCCATGGCGAGCTAGACTATCACCCAGAGCACCTCTGAGGATCGTCTGAACCACCACTAACTACGAAAGTAGCTATGGAGACAACTGACTGAGCTAATTATGACCATCGTCGAGTAGCTACATAGGGATATGGGTTGTTTTTGATGATTCTTGCTTAAACTCTTATATTTAGTTATTTTGCCTATTAAGTGTTTGTATTTATGGTTGGATGGAAGCTAAACTTCAATATTTTATCATTTGCAATATAGTAAGTCTTCTTTTATTTGCTCTAAAATCTATTGAATCTAGTAGTGAGAAGTGCGAAAGTAACCTCACTACGTTAACAATAGAACGCATTCGTGATGGCGGAAGTCACTTTATTCACGACGAAAATTGGGTAGGATGTGGGTGCATTACTTTTAGTACATAGCCCAGAAGGGAATGATGCTTGGGTAGTGAGCTTCGGTAGATGCAATTGTTATGCTTAGTATATTTATAGTCAAAATACTTTATCTAGCTTGTCGTGTGCCTCGGTTCGATAAATCTGATGAGTGTTCCATTTCTTTCCATCGATTTCTATTCTTTTATTTTGCTTACTTCTAATGTCAACACATTACTTGCCTTCACAACAAACCATTGCAACTCTCGTTATTTTAGTTTCCTTTTATAGAGTTAGTCATAACAACAATAAAATACCATCCACTCTGTTCCTTGTGGGTTCGACATCCTTAGCTAGGCAATCTCTATTCAGCAATCGACGAATGTGCGCTTGCACCTATTGTGGTCACATATCCTGGCCTGAACACCGGTTCAACTTCATACCCCAGGACGCTAAAAGATTTGGGGTCAACCTTCAATTTGATAACATCATCAATCCTATTTTGAATGTTTGAGATGATTTGAAACTTAGCCTACTCAAAAGATGAGGGATATTGAGAGTTTTCACACTACAAAAGAAATGTTGTTATTACAAATGCCGCAAACATTAGCAGGAGCTTTTGTAAATAAAAACACCACCACATGTTAGAACATTTAGCGACGTTTCTTATACAAATGTTGCAATGGATTAGGACATTTTGCAACATTTATTTTAAAAACGCCACTAAAAGACTACACATTCGCGGTGTTTACATAAAAAAATGCCGTAATATGTTAGGTCATTTAGCGGCATTTTTTATATAAATGTTGCAAAAAGTTAGGACATATAGCGGCTTTTAGAGTCAAAACACCGCGAATGTGTAGCCCTTCAATGGCGTTTTACAAATGTTAATTTGTACTCTTTATTGCCCAAATTTAACTTATCTGTAACAATATCCAATAACAACCTTGATACGACTCAAATTAAGTAAAAAAATACTTAACAACAAAAACAAATTGTATTATTCAAGTAATGTAATTCAACATTTAAAAGAAATGTAATGAAGTTCAACATTAAGTAAAATGTAATATAGTTTAACAACAAGAATAAACATAGAATTAGCCTAAAAAATCGTTAGGGCAGTGAATTTCGCGGTTGATATTGCTGCATCATCTGCTTCATAGCTTCAAGTTGTTTTTGAAGTTCATCATATTTTGTTTGATGTACTGCTTTTCGTTCTGTTTCTCTCTCTGTTTCTCTTGCTTCTATCTCAGCTTCTCTCGCTTCTCGTTCTGCTTCTCTCGTTTCAACTTGGGTTTTCAATTGCAATAATCTTACCCACCTGGTTGTAATGTTCTTAAAAGTATTATAATTTCATGAATGAATTGGAATTCCATCACAAACTAACGATGCAGAACAACTCACCACCTCCTGAACTTCCGACCAATATTCAATTTTATAAAACCATTCTTTGAAATCTTTTTTTTCTCGGTCTTCATTCTTCTCATTGTATCAATGTTTTTAAACATCAATAAGACATCTTCATTAACTCTCATAATAAAAAAAGGCAGCTAGACCTTTTTCATGTGGTTGGCTTGCAGGGCTTCCGATTGTACATATTCTTGCACCATCCTACCAAACAATTTTGCAGCATTTGTAGTTTTGCTTCGTCAATAATCCCTTCTACAGTCGTGAGCTCCATCCTTGTGGCAGCTACGACACTTTTTTCTGGTAGGATGGTTTTTTTTTATTATTATTATGGTCATATTATTATATGTAGTTTGTTTTGTTTACATTTTTAATACGTTCATGTGCTATATTTTGTATAGTTTTTTAGGACGATAATTTTATTTGATTTGATGAATTTTGACTTGATTCGGTTTGATTGGATTTTTTTTTATTTTGAAATTTCAAGTTTGGGTCGGATTCCCTTTTAAGAGTTGGTTTGAATCCGATTCAATTTTAAAATGAAAAAATTCAATGTGATCCTATACAATATTATAATTGTCTCATATATTTAGGGTTAATTATAATAATATCACTTTTATATTAGTGGTTATCGAGTTAAGGAGTTTTTTTTTATTAAGGAATTTAGTAAGAAATTAATTGAATGCAAGTTCTGCTAGTCAGGTATTTAGTCTGATAAGTTCGTTTGTTAACACGTGAACACCGTACGTGGAAAATCGTTCTAGAGATATCTGCTAACAAATGGGACCTTATGGAATCAATTATTTTGAATGTCTCATTCATGCATGTGCGGATAATAAGAAGACAATAACAATAAATAACAAGACAACAAAAATGCTGTCGGGGTGGGGTAATGCGATATTGAATATTTCAACAAGACATATACGAGGAGGTCCTACTAATTGGACCACCTCAAATGAATTATGGACGTTCATGGAGCTTACACCTTCTATAAATTGGCATGGAAAACTAAACCAACAACACATCTCAACACACAATCAGCTAATCATGAAAACCACAAGTGCTTCTGTATTTCTCCTTTTCGTCCTGTTTGGCCTCGCCAACGCTGCAAACAATGCTGTGCTGGATATTAACGGTGAAGAGGTCGTCACGGGTGTCCCATACTATGTAGTGTCGGGGATATGGGGCGCTGGAGGTGGAGGGCTTGCCATAGGCAGGGAGAAAGGTAGACCATGCCCGGAAATCGTCGTTCAGAGACGATCCGATATGGACTATGGTAACCCCGTGATATTTTCTAATGCGGACCCCAATGATGATGTTGTCCGTGCGTCCTCCGACGTAAACTTGAAGTTCACTGGACCAAGAGACAGACTCTGCCTAACATCAACGGTGTGGAAGGTTCAACATCGCGACGACTCAACCGGAAAAAGGTTTGTGGAACTAGGTGGGGAGGAAGGAAACCCTGGTTGCGACACAAAGAAGAGTTGGTTTAAAATAGAGGAGACCGGCACGGAACGTATGTACAAATTTAAGTACTGCCCTTCGGTATGTGGTTCATCCGCAACTGCTTGCAACGAAATTGTGAGAGCTGAAGATAACGATGGACAAATGCGTTTGGCTCTATCCGAAGGCGAAGGGGCATGGGCATGGCCATGGGTATTTATCAAAGCAAACCAACCACGTAGTAGGATCCGACAAGTTGTTCGTGCTTAATCGAAAGCCATCCTTGTGCATCAACTAATTACTACTGTAATAGTAGTATTAGCTTTAAGTGAATAAAGGGCCACTGCTTAAATCTGAGAGAGCTTATCATTAAAGTTGCCTTGTTAGAGGCAGCAGCATGCTCATGCTTACAGAGTTTCCTCTCAGAGCCCTGCTTTGTACTCTTTTCAGCTTATTGAATAAAACTTTGTAGTTACTTCTTGCTACCATTGATTCCAGTATTAGACTCATTAATTGGGTAACTTGTTTGGTTATCTTTAGCATCTAGTTCGATTACATGTGTGGTGCACAAAATCATTGAGATTTAGATGAAATTGAACAAAAAAAAAATCGAAACTTAAAAGAAGAGCTTGGTAATGCATAAGAAAATTATGATGAGATATGTTATAAAACTTATGTCTTCGATTAATACCTTGGAAAATAATAAATTAATTGAATAAAATTTATGTTTTTTATAATAAGTCATGTAATAGATCATTTATTAATAATAAGTTATCACTGAATAGATTTATTCTTTTATTTAAAGTTTTTTTTCTAGGGAATATGATATTATTAATAATCGAACAAAACCTATCTAAAATGTATGGCTCATTAAAAATCCATCGGAGGAAAAGAGTACATACATCCGAGACAAAGCATTACAACCCAAACAACCACAATATTCAATTCAAAGGAAAAAGCGACAATTCGATACCGAAGAAAGCTGCCAACAACCGCTGCACCCTCTACAACCACAACTCACCATAAAACTAAAAACGCAAACTACAAGCTACCAGAAAAAAGAAAACCAGCATTATTCTACCGATTGGAAAGGGGAAGTATAATATCACAAAAACCCCATCTAAGACAAGGACGAAAAAGGGGTTAAAGCCTTCGAAGTACACGACCAATAACTTCAAAAATAACATGAACCTTCCAATCTAACACAAGACATCATAAAAACACCAAATCTCAACCTTAGGACACAATCACATGGATTAATACTTCCTCTCATGCAGTTTGGCTGCAATAGCTGCACTTGGAAGGTCAAAGGCATCTGCTACTTCGAGATGAAAATTTGGACCTGCTGGAAACTACCACCCATATACGCTCTTGCATAATCAAAAGCCATTTCTTGCAGATGCAGAATTAAGATGAGTTGCTTGTATTACTCCACTAAAAAGTTGGTTGTGCTTAGAACCAATTCAACTTGAATGTTAACATCCATAAAACTACTATCTCCTAATCCCTCAAATTTATTTATTCTCATATCCAACAATTGTACCTTAGAATCAAAGACCAGAAAGGAATCCTATTAATTTCCTCTCCTCTATATATAGGCTAGTTAAGACACAAATCTTAGTGACATTATTCACAACCTTGAATAGGAAATCACTTAGAAATTCCTTCCAGATACATTCTGTCTGGTGGTAAAGAATGACAAGATTGTGTTCGATTGATCACTTGGATTGTGGTTACTGTTGTGATCGTTTGTTGATGTATCTTGGGAGACAGACGTCCAACGTTACTCAAAGCACCGAGTAGAGGACGAATTTATCTTAAGGAAACTGTTCATACATGCCTCAACAAAACTTCCTCTTCTTTTTATCTAACTCCACTCATCTGATTTCTTGTCTACATCTGAGTAATCAAATTTTGTTTCTCAACTTTAATTTTATATTTATTTTACTTCATTCGATTCATATAATATTTACTTATTTATTATTATTTTATTTCTCAGATTAACATTTTGTCTAACAATCTTAAGACAAAATATTTTTATATTTTTTTATTCTTAGACAAAATTGATTCTTTGAGTTTAATCATGATCATATACTAACGAAGCATTAAACAGTGGCTAATCAAGTGTTGGATGACATTTGAAATTTGCAAGTTCGAATGCAATTTGCAGATGTAACGGAGTGAATGCGATAGTCTATATGTGTTATTCATTACTTTGTGAAATTGGATAATTTGATTGTGGAAATTTGACTATTGACATGCCATTGAAATTCTCAACCAGAGCGAGGTACGTTCTTTTAATAGAAACATAAATTTTATTACTTTTCTGCGAACTCAGCTTGGGCTTGTGCCTCGGTTAAAAAACTTTCTAAGACTAACAAGAGGAAAAAAAGTGCAACGAACCAAAGCTTGGATTACAGGGGTTTTATGATTATAACGTAACACACGACTAATTTGGAAATTCACCATACTTCTACCATATACTACCTTAAAATCAACTCCTTCCATCACATTCAGCAAAACTAAAGTGCAGGAACAAACGAGATTACCCATCCTCATAAATCCAATAGTTGCTAGACAAGGGTTTCATTCGACTTAGCATAAGCAGCAATTTTGTTTGTCCATAAGAAGGACGAGTCGATGAGGTTGTGCATCCACTATCAACAGTTGAATAAATTAACCATAAAGAACTGATTCCCCTCCCAAGGATCAACGACCTTTTTGTTCAACCTAGAGGAGCATGTGTGTTCTCCAAAATTGACTTGAGGTTGGGATATTATCAGTTGAAGGTTAAGGATTCCGTCATAACGAAGAGGACTTTTAGGACTCAATATGACCACTATGAATTTCTAGTAATACCGTTTATACTCACCAATGCCTTGATGACATTTATGGACTTGATGAATCGAGTTTTCCACCCATACCTTGACAAGTTAATAGTGGTATTCATTGATGACATCCTTGTGTACTCGCGATCAGAGGAAGAGCATGACCAAAACCATCGCATTATACTACAAACGCTTAGAGAACATCACAGTTTACCAAGTTCGATAAATGTGAATTTTGGTTCTCAAAGGTTTCCTTCTTGGGTCATGTCGTGGCAACAAATGGCATGAGAGTTGACCCTCAAAAGATTCAAGCAGTAGTTGAGTGGGAATCACAGAAGAGCATGATAGAGGTGCATAGTTTCCTGGGTATTGATAGGTACTATCATCGGTTTGTTAAGGGTTTCTTGATGATAGCTACCCATATGACCAAATTGCTTCAAAAAGGAGTTCCATGCATTTAGGAAAGAAAACAAAAGAAAAGCTTTGATCAGATGAAGGTCATTTTAACTCAGGCCCCTTTTTTGACTCAACCAAAGTCGGGTAAGGATTTCACCGTTTTTAGCGATGCCTTATTAAATGGTCTAGGATGTGTCCTGATTCAAGATAGAAAAGTTGTGGCATATGTGTTCCATCAGCTCAAGACATATGAAAGTAACTATTATACAAATGACTTTGAGCATGTTGTGGTAGTTTTCATGTTAAAAATTTGGAGGCAGTAACTTTTTAGGGAGAAATGCAACATCTTGATCGATCACAAGAGCCTTAAGTACCTGCTCATGCAAAGGAGTTGAACTTCAGACATCATAGGTTGTTCGAGTTGTTAAAGTAATATGATTACGTGATCGACTACCATCCAAGAAAGGCATATGTAGTTACGGATGCCTTGAGTAGGAAATCGATGTCAGAATTGTAATCTTTATTGGTGCACGTAAGTTTGACTTGTGATGGTAGGTATTAGCTAAGCTATGAGTTGAATCTGAGTTAGTTTGTGAGGTTAAAAGGTTAGAAAGTGCTGACAACCATTTCAAGGCTCGAGTGGAGCGAGTCTATCAAAGAGAGGCATCGGGTTTTGAGTTAGAGATGAGGATGTGTTATTCTTTAGGGGTTAGCTGCGTGTACCGGCTAATGAGCAACTACATAGTAAGATTCTCTGTAAGGCACATTGTATTTTGTTTTCTATCCATCCAGATAGTAATAAGATATACCAAGAGCTTTGACAGTTGTATCGGTGGTCGGGAATGAAAAGAAAAGTATTTGAATTTGTCTCTAGGTACTTAGCGTGTCAACAAGCTAAGGTACAACATGCATCAAATTCTTTTAGAGTTACTCTAGCCTATTCAGATACCTCAATGGAAGTGGGATAGAGTGACTATAGACTTCGTGATTGAGTTACCAATGATTAGGCATAGACATGACATTGTGTGTGTTGTGGTAGACCACTTGTCGAAGAAAACTCATTTTCTTCTAGTTCGGATGGACTTTACCTTTGAAAGACTAGCTTAGTTGTAAATCCGTGAGATTGTGAGATTGTATGGAGTTTTGATTTCGATCATATTTGATAGGAACCCTCATTTTATTTCTCGATTTTGAAAAGCGCTACATGAAGCCTTAGGCACCAAATTACATTTTAGTACCATTTTTCACCCTCAGAAAGATGGCCAATCCAAGCGTATGATTCACACGTCATAATGTATTCCACATGTCTATGCTTAGGAGGTACCCTTCTGATCATTCACATGTCACACCCTTAGAATAGATCGAAGTGAGTCAAGACATCTCTTATGAAGATGAACTGATAAGGATCTTGGTGTGAGAAATTAAGGTGTTAAGAAACAAAAGGATTCTGCTAGTGACATGGTGCCGAGGAAGCTAAATGAGAGACCAAAAAAAATATGCAACTTCAGTATCCGCATCTATTTTACCTAGGTAAAACACTTGTAACTTACTTATAACACTTGTAACTCATTGTATGTGCTCAGTTAGCTTGGTTCCACCATAGTACAATCACCTAAACAAATTGAGTTAATTTGGTTCCTCCTATGTCTAATGGCTGCAGTGAGATGAAAAAACTTTAGGTTACGATCACCTTCCTTGAACCATTCAATCCTCAATTTTTGAAGCTAATCTCTTTCTTCCTTTCTGTAGCATGTCTATATCTGATTTCTCAGATTGTTCACTTCTTTAACAACATAAATATTGGCAGTACCCGAACAAATATCCTTATCTAACAACTGGATGCGTTCCTTCATTTGATCTATGGATTCCCGATCGACAGGTTTGTTGTCCTTCAGAAAAGCTTTCAATATTGACTTACAAACTTTCAGCATGTTTCTAATATCCCTCCCTCTCTCCAATGTGAAACACACTTTTATAACTTGAGAAAAACTAGGAAATTCGCACCAGGGAGAGAACCACTTAAAAGGTTTAGGCCCTGAAGAAGAAAGGCTTTGCTTGAGGGAAATAGGGCAATCATCAGATAGACTTTTAGGTAAGTAAGACTGGAAAAGATGGGGCCACAACACCAAGAACACACAAGGCACCAAAAATCTATCAATACAATATGTCGCAATATTTGGCTCACGACCACCGACCAATGTAAAAGGCCCTCCAAATAACGGCAAATCAATAAGACATAAGCTCTCGATGAACTCA